GAACTTATTGATGTTCGCAGCCTATTATTAAAAAATAACAATTTGAGTTTATTGGAACGCAAAAAGCAAAGGTTGAGTATATTTTTTGCTTTTTTCTTATCTGTTGTTTGATTTTCTGAAAGACATGTCAAGTTAAAATATGGAACAATTAATAGAGCTTATGAAACCGTTGTGCACTAGTGTTCAGCAATAACAACAGCAAATACAACAGTTGCAAAACCACCAACAACAACATCAGTGTCAACTTTTTGAAAAATTAATAGCAAAAACCAGTGAACAAATAACTAGTTTTTTCTCTGCCAAAAGTATTGCGAGTTCATTAACAGAATTTTATTATGACCTGGACAATGGGATTACCTTCCTAGCATATTTCAGAAGATATGAATCTATATTTACAAATAGATGCCATGTCTGGTCAGACGAGGAAAAATTCACCCTTTTATTACAAAAAATGGGGACAGATGAAAATACAAAATACTCTAACCTAATATTACCAAAGAAACCGGAAGAAGTCTCATTTGAAGAAACAGTTAGAACCCTATCAAGGATATTCGATGAAAGAGATAGCTTGTTCCACACACATTACAAATGCCTTAATGTTGTTTAGTCAGAAAATGAGGATTTTTTTATCATATACTGGGACAGTTAACTCATTATGTGAACTTTTCAAAATTGACAAGATTTTAAAAGATATATTCAAATATCTAATATTTGTTCAGGGACTAATAGCTCCCAAGGACAAGAATATCAAGTCGCGGATTCTTACTATAATTGAAAAAACAATGAGATTACTTTGCAAAAATTTACTGAAGAGTGTCAGCATCTGATTAACGAGACAATACTTGAATAGAGGAAAAAAATGTTTTCAAAGTTCAGTGAGTAAAAGCACAAAAGGTCCCAAACATGAAGAACAAAAAGAAATGTAAATGTTGCGGAGGATTTAATCACACAAAATATAATTGCTGGTACAAAAACAAGGTTTATTTTGAATGTGGCTGTAAGGGACGTAAAGGGTCCCAATGCTATAAAAGAAAAAAAAAGGCAAGTGAAAAAGTGAATGTGATTCTCTCCAAAAAGGAATTGGGGAATGGTGTGAAATGAAAATATGTCAATGCACATATAAATGGACATATGGTAACATTTCTTTTGGATTCAGACTCTGATATTAATATAATTGATGAACAGACATGTGTTATATGTATACATACATGTGTGTGTATATACACATACACATGTATATTAACTGCGGACAGAATGGGAACTAGAACTTCCGCCGGAAGGCGACTTCCTGTAAAATGTCTTAAGGAAATAAATGTATGTTCTTGCACTCCTATCTTCATCTCTCTTTTCTAAGTGCAGCGAAAATCATCGCCGACTCATCTTAACTCCAGTTTACGAAGAACTAATACGTGCACGGTAAGACCGAATCATTTTACTTCTTTGTTGACTGTAAACCTTATTTACTCCACGTTGTCTATGTGTCGATCGGCGAACACAACAACATGGAGGAAAATGAATCAACCAAAATTGACTGACACAAACAAAATTGCCAGAGGTATTTCAGGAAAAACACTCAAATTGAAGGGGGAACTTAAGTGTAACGTTTCATTTTATGATAAGACTTTCAGGTCACAAGTCTACATACATAAAGGGAACAACCCCTGCCTTTTCAACATAGATTGGATCGTGCTAGTTAATTTATGGGAATTGCCTGTAAATTATTTTTGTAATCAGGTGAACACCTGAGAAAAAAAAAAATTAAAACAGACAGAACAAATTTCTCTGAAGGATTGGGTATATGTTTGAAAACGGAGGTAAAATTTGAAATAAAAGAAAATGTTACACCTCAAAGGAACATTCCATTTTCTTCATTAGACTCTATTAACAAAGAACTAGAAAGATTGGAAAAATTAGGTGTTATTTTGAGGGTGGATCACTCCAATTGGGCATCGCCTACTGTGTATGTTAAAAAGAAAAATAATAGAATTAGAGTATGTGCAGAGTTTTCGACAGGTTTAAACGACTGTCTAAAAAGACCACAATTACCCACTTCCCTCACCTGAGGACATTTTCTCAAAATTAAATGGGGGTAAAATATATTCTAAAATAGATTTGCCAGACGCATACTTGCAAGTCAACGAAGAGCGTTCCAAGTATCTGACAATTTACACGCAAAATGGATTATTTAAATTAAACTAACTTCCTTTTGGTTTAAAGGTGGCACTTTCACTTTTTCAACAAATCATGGGTACAATGCTTGCAGGGTTAGAATTTGCCATTGCGTATCTAGATGACATTTTGTTGAAAAGTAAAAATATGGATGAGCATAAAAAACACATAAGTGCTATCTTCAAGAGAATAGAAGAATTTGAATTCAAAGTGAACCCCAAAAAATGTGAGTTTTTTTTTTTATGGAAAAATTTAAATATCTTGGGAAGATTGTGGATAAAGATGGCAGAAAACTGAAGCCATAAGAAATATTCCTGCCCCAGACAATGTGGCAAAATTGCAATTTTTAGGTTTGGTGCAATACTACGCAATATACATTCCAAAGATGAATGAATTAAGAGCACCGTTAAATGAATTGTTGAAAAAGGTGGTTAAATGGTGTTGGTCTAAAGACTGAAAAATCTTTTCAAAAAATTAAAAACTGTTTACTGACTGATTTAGCATTGGCACACTATGATTCAGAAAAAAGAAATAATTGTTGCTTCTGATGCTAGTGAATATGGAATCAGAGCAAAAGATGGTTCAACAAAACCAATTGCACATGCTTCAAGGACTCTTTTTGCCAGCAGAAAAGAATTACAGTCAGATTGAAAAGGAAAGCTTAGTAATCATTTTTGCAGTTAAAAAATTCCATCATTTCCTTCACGGTAGGGTGTTTACACTACAAACTGACCATAAGCTGTTACTGACCATTTTTAGATCAAAGAAGGGCATTCCAACTCATACTGCAAACCAATTACGGCATTGGGATGTAACATTATTGAATTACCATTTTAAAATGGAGGACATCTCATCTAAAAATTTGGATTCATGCAGATGAACTATCAAGGTCAACTCCAAAACCTAATGAAACTTTGGAAGAAACTGTAATTGTGACTTTAAAGGACAAACAAGAAATATTGCATTTGCTGTGTAATACTGTTTGGGAACTACTGGTGACACTAGGAGACATAAGGCAAGCAGCAGAAAATAATAATTTTATTAAAAATATGAAAATAGAAGCCAGGATAAATGAAAAAAATAAAAAGGGAATAAAAATTTCTCATTCGATCTGTGAAAACACTAATGTACACAGACAGGATGGTGATTACATAAAAAGATCTTAAAAGAATTTCATACAGGTAACCCTGGCAATCTCTTATGAGAAGTTATGTTTTCTGGCCATGAATGGATATAGATGTCGAAAATTTTGTGAAAAACTGCAGAGAGTGTCAGTTAGCTGCAAGAGCCCCACCAGTTAAAACACAACCATGGCCAGAAACAGATATCCCCTAGACACGCCTACACATTGATTATGCAGGACCACTTAATGGGTGTTATTACCTGATAGTTTCTCAAAGTGGCCAGAAGTTTTTAAATACAAACATCCAACTTCTAGAAATACTATCAGTGCTTTAGACAAAGTTTGCAGCCACTTTGGAGTTCCTCGGACATTAGTCAGTGATAATGGAACTGTATTTACAAGTAAAGAATTTAAAGAATTCTGTGCTTCATTGGACATTGAACATGTCACAACTCCAATTTACCACCCAAGGTCAAATAGACAAGTGGAAAAATTTGTGGACACATTCAAACGGGCATTAAAGAAAAAATCAAGGGGTAGACACAGAGGAGAAAGCTATACAGAAATTCTTAGCAGTATACAGGGTAACACCGAATGCAAACAATACAGCAAAATCATCACTGGCTGAGTTGATGTTTGCAAGAAAATAAAGGTTGATATTCGACAGATTGTTGCCTTGTACAAAAAAGAAAATGCATAACAAAGAGAATTTCTGTGCAAAGAAATATATGCCTGGAGTTTTCTTCAGGAACTACCAAGGTGGAAAATGTTTTTTGGTGGATGGAATTATTTCAAATAGAATTGGAAGAGTAATCTATACGGTGAAAATAAAAAGATGTGTATGCGAAAGGCATGTAAACCAGTTAAGACCAAGATACTCTGAAATCATTCAACAGGATGATGAAGAAACTCCAATGGATGCCCTGTATGACATGTTTGAAACCTACTAATATACCAGAATGCATGGTTACATCTACTACACTAGCTTTGCCTGTAGGATTGAGATGTTATTTGCCTCAAAAGAATACAAGGAAAAGAAAACCCACAGTGCGGTTAAGTCCAGAACTGAAAAAGAGACAGTATTAGAAAACTAAATTTTCTAGAGGAAACTTTCAGCTCAGGGGGAGGTGATGTAATGGAATAACCTGTCACCCTCATGAATGACTATACTATAGGTAGTAACTACCTATAAGTATCTGTAGGTCAACAGACTACAGAGACTAGCTGGGATCTGTTGAGTATGAATCAGGTTTATGCAAGAACTACCAACCTTCACTACAGCACTCACTACTGGATTGACTTGTATGCACCTGTTACCTTTATTCTTATTGTACTGGTTTTTTACAATAAACCATTACTTATTTTATCCACCTTGTTTTTCAAGTTTCTGTTTTTGAAGTATATATTCCTATTAGCAGGGAATAAAACAGAAGGCATTACACTATCCCAAATTTTATTAGCACATTTTCTGTCATCCATTAAAACACTTCCCAGATAATTAAAATTCTGTATTTTCTTGTTTTTGTTAATTCCACTTCAGTTGCTAACAACTTGGGCTGTTCCTCTTGCTGACAATCATATATTCTGTTTTCTTATATTCTTTATTTTCTTGAGTGATTTCTTCTAACTTTCCTTTTGTACCTCCTCTAAGAAATCCTGACATATCCTGAAATATTTACTCTTTTATTTCTTCTTCTTCAAATTTCAGATAATTCCAGAGAGGAGATAACACGTTATCCCCAAGTAGCAGATGATCCAGAATTAGCAAATGATATGCAATCTAACCATGATAGTGTTCTGTCAAGATTTATTGAAATCACACACTGTGATGACATGGAACTGGCTAAATGCATTGTCGAGAATCAACATTTTCACTTGGATAATGCTGTAAATGAATACCGTGCTTTCATGTCATAGAAAATTGGTATCTACCATTATGTAATATACACAGGATAGTTGAGAAAATAATGTTTATCTTTTGTCATGTCACTTTTTTCCAATAAATACCCACACACGCATATATATATATACATTTTTGTAGGATGTATAATAATATCCAAAACAAAGATAGAGATGATGAGACAAATTGGGAAAGCTATAAACTACATTTCTCTGACATTCTGACATGAAGAAGCTGAAAACAACAGATATTGGCAAAATTGTCATTTATAGTTTTCCATTTTTTTTTTTATAAATATATATATATATATATATATATATATATATATATATATATATATATATATATAAGACAAAAGTTTATAGCTTTTCTGATTTGTCTCATCATCTCTACCTTTGTTTTGAATATTATTATGAATCCTACAAAATATGTGTGAGAGTGTATGTTTGTATATATATATATATATATATATATATATATATATATATATATAGGCAGCAATTTTTCATTTTGGTTAAAGACCAAAGCCTAAGGAAAGTTCTTTTTAAGAATTTTTAAGTATATTTTTCTAGATTTCTGATCATTTCCTTACTTTCCAGTACATATTTGGATATAAATTGTCCAAAGTCTGAGTACATTCAGATATCATTAGCCATTATCAAAGATTTCTGGTTTTTTTGTTGTTTTTGCACAGTGTCATTTTCTTCAATTTCAGATAAGGTATTTCTAAATTTTATGAAATCTCTAAAATGCTATTTGAATGTTAAAAATATTTACATTTATATAAAGATAAGTTCTAAAGAAATTACTTGAAAATTTCTTTCTAAAACTTAGGAAATATGCTACCCAGAATTGGAAAATATAAAATGCAATAATATATATATATATATATATATATATATATATATATATATATATATATATATATATATATATATATATATATATATATATATATATATATATATATGTTGGCAATGTATTTACTTTTTTTGCTCTTCTAGATTTTATATAGCCATTTTCTTAAATTGGGAATAGTATGATTTATATCTTAATATACAAGATTAAATAAGTTAAATCTTATATATTTATCTATATTCAGGCAGATCAAAAGTTTGCTAATCAATATATATATTCATATATTTTTTAGACATAATAAAATAATAGTTTTTGTTTACTTTTAATTTTTTATAATTTTTAAAACTTTGTAAATCTGTAATATTATCTATATAACAATTTTTGTTTGAATTTCTATTCAGATAGTTGCCTTCGTCTTTGCTATTCAGAATTCCCTGTAGGTCACCCAGATCAATATACCCCTGAGGAAAGACAGAGGAGACAATGGCCAAAACATTGTGATAAAAACAACAAAGTGGAGAACAATATTCTGAATATAAATAGTGTAAATAATTCTATCCATTATTAAAAACCAAAAAATATTATCATTATTATTATTATTATTATTATTCCTCCTCCTCCTCCTCCTCCTCCTCCTCCATCTTCCACTGCGTCCAAAGCCAGTTGGTATCAAAAACATTCTGTATAATCCCTCTCCATTGCGATTATCGATAGTTGTTGAAATTTATTGCATTTTTATTTTATTAACATAATCTCTACACTGACTGTTTTTATACAGAGTTCTATTTCTCCTAGATTAGCTACCAACCATAGCTAAAGAACCCAGTCTCTTTTCTGTGTAACAGATTGTGGTGGGGAGAAGAATCAGTTCAAAGATATTTGTGCAAAAGTGAGGATAAGAAACTTGACAAGACATTGAACTTGTCTCTCCAATTTCTCATTCCATGCTGATAACCCTTACAATACTTGCTCATCCACATTATCATTAATTTAAGTAAAATAACCCTAATGATTAAAATATTACTTCAATAAAATTAATGATGAGAAAATAGCAATTATCTGATACCTACAAGGATGTGCTGGAAATTGGAATGTTTTTGACTTGGCCCACTTACTAACATTAATATTTTAATGACCTTACATCAAAATATTGATTTTCAGATGTGTGTAGGGCTGAGAAGTTTTCAGCATCAACAGATATTTAAAATAATTCCCTACTGAAAAAAGCATCAGTAAAAAGGTGAATATCTTTACAATTCATAGAAATATACACACATGCATGCAAACACCACACACACACACATATATATATATATATATATATGTAATAGGTCTGTTAACAAAATTTAAAGAATAAAAAGTCAACAAAATGACAGTATTGTCAATAAAGTTGATATTTATTATGTATTAACCTTTTAACTGAATTGTATCACAAAGCAATAGGTTTTAATGTTTTTTAATACGCCTGTGTTCTTTTTCAACGATACTAGGAATAAACAAAAAGTTGGACTTACTCTTCTGAGGAATGGTGTTGTTGGTTAGAGGTCTCCCAGTGGAAATTATATTCTCTGAGTAAACCCAAATCCCTGTTTAATACCTCCATGTTTGAATTTATTTTGAAAATAATTTTCAACTCTGATCTGCATCTTTCTTTTCGGTTGTTGAATGAAGATGCTAAAAGCACGCATCTGATGTCATCGACATTGTGAAATGGTTTGTTGAAGTGGACAGTGATGGAGAAATTGTTGTTCTTGTCACTGATTGTTTTTTCTGGTTATTGAAGCAAAGATGGAATTCTGTCCTAGTTTATCCAATGTAATTTCTTTTTTTGCATTTATGGCAGAAATGAACTGTCACAATTCATAGCTGGTGGCTTGAATACTACATGAGTGCCAGAAGGTGTGAAATTTCTATCAGTGATGTTATGTCTACAGACTTGGCATCGGGGTTTATTGCAAGTCAAATAAAAAAATATGGGAATTCTTTTTTGTTTCATAGGTTAGGAAAATATTCCTATTTTGTTTGGAAGCCTTAGTAATTGATAGCTTTAATCATATATATATATATATATATATATATATATATATTATATATATAATTAGAGATAACAATAAGCAGCTCTCAAAAGAAACTGCTCCAGATTGCACACTGGAAAAAAGAGTGCTCAATAATAAATGGCAGAGCTTTAATATATTTTAATTCAAATTACAAGTGGGCAGTGACCGACAATGACTACCAGTTTCATGCACTTTCATGCAATCATCAGAAGTTGGAAATTAGACTAAAAAATAAAAAAAATTTCACCAGAAATGGTTTACTGGTCCGACAAAAAAGTACTCAATGTCATAGGGAACAATAGCACTATAGGAGCTTACAGTGTCAACCAAAAAAAGTGCTTCTTTTTTTTTTTTTTCTATTTTTGCTGTTTTGATCTTGGCCAGATAGGTTACCATTCCCCTGGTGAGTTTGGTTGGCTTACTATCTTGGACTTGGCTGGTGGTATAAGAGTTCTTGTTTTCACAAACTACCAACTGCCTGATGATTGTACAGTGCATGAAACTGGCAGTCAAGTCAGTCACTGCCCACTTGAAATTTGAATTAATATATCTAACAATTCTGCATACTCATAAAATCTGTAATAAATTTATACAAAGTGTGTTTATCTGTCAATACTTTAATGAAAAAACTATGTAATTAAGATAATGAAGGAAATGATCTTTTCAATGACTCACAATATAATTAATATTCAAGTTTGGAATGGATTATAAAGCAGGCAATTTGTTTCCTATTAAGGGTTTTATTCCTTAAAGCAATTATCAAAATTAATAATTGATTTATTTCACAAATCAATTATTAAATTACACTGAGATACAAAGATTGAGATTTTTATAAACTTATAAATTAGTATTGAGTTTATTTTCTGTTTACACCAATAATAACCTGGAATTATTTAAAATCTTATTCATTCTTTCTTAATAAAATTATTAAATATATTTTTGTTGTCTTGTAATTTATTTTATTTACAATCTCTCATGTTTTATGCAAATTGAAAACTGCACAAAATGATAATATTGTTTTATTGCTATCTTTGTATTAAAATGCATTTTTACTGTAAATATCAACAGCGGTAGAGCAAATGATCTTTGCAATTAAGGGCAAGTACACTTTTGGTGTTTGTTACCTTTAAAATGTTTTGATTATTTAATTTGTGACTAATTACCTACTAAATGATAACAGTAATAAAGAATTAGGTTGAAAATCAAGCCTCATTGTACTGAGAAAAGTTGATCTATGGTGACTCCAATTATGTACTGGGCTCAGTCTAAGAGATACCAAAGCAGGCTTTGATGTCACATCATATCATGAAAAGAACTAGAAGTTTGATATGGAAGGTGAGCCCATAGGCATCAGAAATAAAACCTCAAAGGCTATCAGTGTTTTCACTGACATGTAAGCAGGAAATTGACCCAACTGAGCTTATCATGTGCACACACACAGGACAATAGGTCATAAGTGCCTCACCAAAATAAGAATCTTTTACATCCTTACAAGAAGAAAATCAAATTTTGAAGAAAAATCCCCAAATCACTCACCCTTATTACTAGCATTAATTATTGTAATTCAAAAGTGAATAAACAATAATTGTATCCCATATTTTTATTATTACAAATACAACATTACACATCCAATTAACTCCTTTACATCAAAATGTTGTACTTTTCATCTACTTGAATGAAAAATCGGGCACTGCTGTTCTCATCTTTGTTGCCATATTCATGATGTTTCAGCCATTGTATGCACCGTCCTTCTTCAGGTGATTGCAATTTCGAACTGAACCTTTATCTGCTGGGGTAGATTGTTCTAGTTCTACGTGCCATGCCTCTTATGGATAAGTTATCTCCCTTTATTTGCACTCTCCAAGTTTTTATTCACCTCTGCTGTAGCCAGGTATTGAACTCACAACTCAGTCAAGTCACTGAAATTCCAATCACCTGAAGAATTCAGAGTGTACAATGGCTGAAAAGTTGTGAATATGGCAAAAAAGATGAGGACAGCAGGTCAAACAATGTATATAGTGTAAATAATTACAATATGTCACCTCAGAAATATCGGCAGATATTTTAAAAACAGTGCAAAATAATACAATAATACCAATACA